AGAGTACGGTTGTAGAGCTGTATCCCTTGCGAAAACCTGGCTGTAAGTGAATAGGTCCTTTCTTTCCCAAAAATGTGAATTATGTACTTGATTGAAATCTGAAATATTGACTAGTGTCTTGATCCTATCCCAAAATCAATATATCTAATAGTTTTTATGTATATTTTCATTTTTCTTAGGGTAGACAGGAGAACGATAAGATAATGGTAACAGAATCTAAAATTCGAATAAACAGTTATAAGAGCGGATATGAGTAAAATTATGACATTTAGTAAAATCACTGAGATATTACATACATTTTACAGATGATCTATGACGAAAGAAATTATTTCGAACTGAGTGGAAATTCAAAATGATCTGAACAGCAGAAGCAAAATTATACTAATGAAATAAATTGTAAAGGGAAATGAAATTATTTGTTAAGTTACAATTGTTACAATTCACTCAAAGTGATATAAGTGATAACAATCGGAGCGTCATGAGTTTTTTTTTTTGGTATCCTTTATATCTGTAAACTTATGACATTTCTTTTATAACGTTGAGACTTCATAATTTATTTCATTTCCAAGCCGTGTGTTATTTGTTTTCGTTTCAGTTCACAATCAGCAGATGGATATCTCCCGGTCTTATACCTGGGTCTATCCATCAAGCTTTTTTAAATTGTCTTACGTCATTTTACTACTTTCTACGATTAATAAAATAATTTAATAAGTTCATTCTGTAATTTCTTTACTCTATAGAGTATCAAATCTATGAAATTCACTGACAAACATTGATCAAGTCATGCTTGAAAGAATTTGAGAATTGTCCAACTAATTTGAATGAAAATATTTTTGAAGTTACATGCTATCAAATTTTAACTTGCTTGACAGTTATTATAGTGTAACAGTTCCTTCTTCGGAAGCTTCTGATAATTCCTCTTCTATATTCTCTGTTTCACTATCACTGTCGTCATTTAAATAAATAATGAATTTATTTCCACCCTTAATATGAAAGTGTCCAATCTCCATATAGGCTTTTTCAACTGAAATTACTTTTTTAATCCTTTTCTGCCAGTCTTCTTCGGTAATATTAGATACTTGTATTTTAATTAGCTTTATCACCTTCTTATCAATCATTTTTACGCCTGATACTTTATTTCAATTTTTCCTAAATCAACTCGATGGGATTTTTATCCATTGAAAAACTTTGTATTTCATCTTGCCTCGAATTTTTATTCGGTACTTTAATGAGCTGTCGCGAATGATAGGGAGCGTTGGCAAGAACTATTACACTATTAGCATCCAAATTTGGTATCGATGTGGTACCATGTTCTTATGATGGTTAACATTGCAGTCCCCAAATTTTTTTACATAATTTCAAAGAATTCTGAACCCATCCTTTACTTTATTCGCAATGCACAATGATTAGTTGCGGTCCCTTGTTTGCAGGCATGTTAGGCGTACACATTCTCGAACCATCAGTCCACCCTTTCGTAACTGTGTCGTGAGTGTCATACCAAGTTTCGTCCAAATAGAAAATTTGCCGTTATTCTTGTCTATATTCAGTTATTTGTTCTAAGTATCTGTTACACAATTCCACTATTCTTCTGCTTTCCATAACTGCTTGACGTTTGTTTATTATTTCAAATCTAAATCCTAGTTTCTCTATCCAATTCTTAAGAGTTTTGTCACAGCAGCTCACGTTATGGCTGGAAGTATTCAATTTCTTCGTTATGATTTCAGTTGTAGGAATCTCATTGCTTTTGTAACAGTCGTATATATTTTTTTAATGATTTTATTAGATGAACATCTAAAAGTTTTGGTATTCCTGCATCAAATCGCGTCTTGCGTTCATAAGGTTTGTTTTTGACTATTTTGCGTACAGTTGAAAAAGGAATTTCGGTCAAATCTGATGTTGCTTGTAATAATTTGTTTCTGTGGAAACCAAACTTGTTTTACTATCACAATAGCTTTTTTTCGTAGTGAATGACATAAATCAAGTTAATTCCAATTATACACTCTGATTTATTCTTTAGGTAATCATATAAGTCAGAGGTTCCTACTAAGGTACTGCTTTTATCATAATTACATAAAGCATCTACCTAACTTTTATACCTAAGGTACATCCTCAAATTATAATCAGCTAGAGCATATTATATCAATTATTTTCAATGTGTAAAATTTCAAAATCTCCTTTAAAGATATGATTTTCTTCTGAAAGATGATTTGAATTTATTGAACTTGTTTTCTTATTTACATAGCTCCTATGATGTTCTTGGATGTGATTCTTAAATGTTCGGCCAGTTTGACCAATATATACCTTAGGACAAGTTCCACAATTCAATTTATATAAGTACTTCTGATTTCTCTAATTTGATTGTTTTGTCTTTATTGTTTTCAACTAACTTTTCCAATGTATTATCTGTTCTATATGCAATTTCAATATCTTTTTTATTCAAAAATGAAGCCACTTTTTCTGTTGTTTGTCCAAAATATGTTAAAGTTTTATAATTTTGATTACCTGACTTATCAGTAGGACAAGCCTCTCGAATTGCTTTTGCGTACACTTTGTTGGAAAGTATTTTGTTTATTAATTAAGCTTTAAATCCGTTGTTTATTGCAATTTTCTTGATGATATTGAGATCTTTATTGAAATTATTTATTGAAAGAGGAATATTGAGTAATCTATGAATTATGCTATTATAAGATGCTATTTTGTGCTGATACGGATGGGTAGAATCGCAATGAATAGTAATATCCGTATGGAAAGGTTTGTTATAAATTGAGAAATCATATTTTTTGTTCATTCTACCAAGTGTCAAGTCCAAGAAAATGATTGAGTTTGAATTGTCTACTTCTACTTCAACAGTAAATTTAATGTTTTCATGAATTTTGTTAATATCTCTATGAAAAATATTTGATTGTCTTTCAGTACCTGTGAAACATACCAAAACGTCATCCAGATATCTGTACAATACAAGAGATACTTAAACAAGATGCTTAAGAATCGATTTCTCTATATGTTATGCATTAATATATTCTGTATTATCATTTCACATCGTGTTATAGGCAAATTCTACCGAATAAATGGGATATTTTTTAAACAGGAACGAATTGTTGGATTGCAAAGAAAATTTCAAAAGTAAAAAGATTTCAACAGTTTGTATACTTATAAATGTAGCTTGCATATTGAAAAACTGAAAATGAGTTGAAGAAAAACAATTACATCACCAATGTAGTACTAGAAACGCTACTAATTTGATAACAATGACTCACAGAACATTTGGAATTGAAAAATCTCCAACTTATGCTGGTTTCGAAAATATAATAAATTCCTTGATCTAATTACAGCCTGTAATACTTCAGAAATCACTAAAAAATTTGTTATTGGCTAAAGTTTATCATACATTACAAGAATATTACCATGATTGAGTTTTTGTGGATATCTTTGTGTGAATTATCTTATTCTTTCATTCATTAATTTCACACTTTTACATTTTGATTCATATATATTTTTACATTTCATTTTATGGTAATCAATTATGTGTATATTTATATGTAAATGTTTAGCTCTAGTCTTCAATACCTAATTCCTCCCATTTGAAACCTTCACAACGGTTACAATATAATGAAGAAAAGATAATTGACACTTTCTATGTTTATATGTTTATAAAAGTGGTTAAAAACCATAACAAGTTTCAATTCTCTTTTCTTCATTATGATTTCCTACCACGTAGTAACGGCTACATCCATCAATTTATTAATTACAAAATAAAATCATAAAATGTATATATAAGCTGAATCGGGGAATATACCATTTCAAAATATGCATGTTCATTTATAATGTAAAGAATAATAAAAAACATTCGATATCATGTTTCGACGAAATCAATTCAATTCATGATCATAATACACGGCAAACACAAAATACAAAAATATGTTTTTCATGATGGAGTTAATTTATACATATAATGAATTAATGTGAAGTGAAACTGGCTAAACGATATAATTGATCCAAATTCCAATTTACTTCTAACCAATGTACAGTATAGTAGTTTGATCAAATGGATATTGCTGGAATTTCTAGTTTGCCCGATAATAAACCCTAATATTATTTCCATTTCGAAGATAAGTTGGACAGAATCAAATAAAAATAATTTCTATACGCATGCAGTTCCCATTTGAGTAATTTTCAAAATTTATCACTCTGATAATGGTAAGAGCAGTTCAGAACTTGAGTTGAACGTTGTTCTGTAGTAAGAATCAATAATGCTAGATAGACCACAATTTCAAAATATCAAAAGGTCGGGGTACATCTATAGACATTTCAAATATTTTCTATCTTTCGATGGATTCCGAAATAATAGACTGATAAAAATCGCCGTGACGGTTGTTTTTCTTTAGTAAATATTAGTGACAAGAGCACATAGTGAGTTGGCTATGATTTTGAATCATGATAGTTGCTTTTGTGATGATATATTCAAGTAACGGTTCACTCTGAGATTTTCACTGCACAGCTTACAAACCCGTAACACGTAACCCAGAAACGTTTTCATACTGATTTCTGCCTAATTCGTTATTTATATAAAAACAATTTCAATTATATGGCCTTCTACCTGCTTAATGACTGATAATTAACCCGAGTCCAGGTAAACAGTAATCAAATATTCGCCACAAACAAAATTCCTCCAACCCCTTAAACAGATTCAGTAGAGGAAAATACTTCAATAATATTTAGTAATTTAGTAAATTTCCAGGATTCTTGAACCCATTCATTTCCAAGCATTCCGAAGGATTAAGTTTCAAACCTTGCAAATACAATAGTTCACAGTGGTGGCTGAACTCATGTCCATCTGCCGAAAGATGGATTTCAAATATGGAATGTTCTTTTATTCTTTCAGGGAAAGGTTCTCCCCGTTTGGCCAACATTAAGTTCCGGGCAAAAACCACCGATCTATCCGACACTGAGGTTTTGTCTTTATTGTTTTCAACGAATGAGACTATGAATGATCTACTTACCTGTATGCGTCCGTTTGTGAATTTTCAGATTCTCACTCCTTGCGAACACTTTCCCGCACCCAGGAAATGGACAAGGAAACGGCTTCTCTCCGGTATGTACCCTGATGTGGTTCACCAGTTTATATTTCGCTTTGAACGGCCTGCCGTTTCTGGAACAGTTTTGCCAAAAACAAGCGTGTGTCGTACACTCAGGACCCCCGACATGTTCGACTGTCAGATGCGTCACGATTTCGTGCATGCTTGTGAAATGCTTCCCGCAAGACTTCCTCGGGGGAGGTTGATCTGCGTCGATCCAAAGGCATTGCATTTCCTGCTTGATCGGTTGCCGCATGTATCTGAAGAAAGCTCCATGGACGTTGGTAGGATGGGGAGGTATACCCATGTGGGGGTTCAGATACTGGTGATGGTGGTTCGGTTGAGGGTGGTACGCCGCGTGGTGATCTGTTCTTGAATGCAGCATCTGGTGATGAGGGGTCAAATGCGGATTGTAGTGAGGCGGCATTTCCGTGTGATGGTGGAATAAAACGGAGTCGCTGGGTGCGGTTTGTGCCGTCGGAAAGTCGTGGTGGTCGCGGCGGAGTAGAAAATCCCTCGCTGCATAACCTGCATGCGATCCCAAATGTCCCATGTGCCCGTAATTAGCCTGGAAGTGATTCTGGTGTACCGAGCCCACTTCTGGGGCAGTCATCGCAGCCGGGGGGTTTTGATGCGGCGACGGAATAGCAGCACTACCACTGTTATGTCCCGGAGACATTTTCAAACCGTACGTCGCCAAATGGTGATGGCTGCTGTCCATAAATGCATTTATCATTATGAAAACTTCACTTTGCTGTCGTTCAGTGTTCACTTCATCGGTAATTGTTCATCGCGGAAAAACTACACTGAAGTAAATAAGTTCGAAACGTATGTTAAAAAAATAGCGAACTGTTCATTTCACTCAGGACGGTGTATCCCACTGGGAGGACTAGTACACCCGGTGTTCACAGCTGGACTGACTGCATAGCGAGCCATTCTTGCTGGCTGCGTAGGGCGGGGCGTGCTCCACGATTATTGGAGAATTTTAGGTGTGTCGCTATTGGTCTGGAGTTTAATGATCGTGCACGGAGAGGTTCGTTGGTGTTATTCGAACCAATGGTCATTGGAGGTGTTTCGTGATAACACGTTTTACTTGTTGATACTGTCATATTTCAGTATGATCATGTCGATGTCACTAGGAGCAAATTTATATTATATAATTTTTTAGTTAATTATTTTTTATTCGTCGTTTATTTTATCGTTAATTTTTTTTCAAACGGGGTTCCAAAATTCATGTTATTCACGTTATCGTTAGTTTATGTGACAAATTATACTTAATTTTTTTAGATTCACTTCAGGAATCACAATTATGTATCGCTATTGCAGAAAAAAATACCTACTTGGAAACGTTAGAGTCAAAATTAGTTCAGATTAGCTTCAGATAATTTGTTCGAACCAAAAAAAAATCCAAACTCAAAGAGCATTCCAGATATCGGAAGGAGGTCCTTCAAATAGAAAATCTTCAAAAAGCCACTGATAAATTTATAAGTCTCGTACCTACAAAACGCAGTGGAAAAGTCCAAGAAATATATCAAAATAAAAAGTTGTGAAAGAAAACGAAAGAATTGGATATCAAAATCGTTGATAGAAGCTGCAAATAAAAAAACATATACAGTGTCATCCCCAANTTTCACACGAGGCAACTATTCGCTCTCTTAAATCTTCTAAAGTATTAACGGGAGTTTTATACACAAGAGTTTTAAGGTGACCCCATAATAAAAATCTAAACTGTTGAGATCGGGGGATCTTGCTGGCCATTGCTGAGGTCCTCCGCGACCTATATCCAACAATTAGGATAAACTGTATTTAAATGGTTTCGGACAATTACACTGAAATGAGCAGAGGCGCCATATATCAAAATAAAAAGTTGTGAAAGAAAACGAAAGAATTGGATATCAAAATCGTTGATAGAAGCTGCAAATAAAAAAAAAACATCTACAGTGTCATCCCCAAAGTATGCAATTCACCATATGGGAAACTTCTTTATTAAGTTTTGTTTTCACAATTAGTTATTCCTGATAAAAGTTTGTGCATCCCCTAGAACTAAACATAAACCAACAAAATACAGTAAAACACACGTAATATACGAGGAGCCTTCAAATATTTGATTTTGGGACAAGAGTCAAGTACCTACTCTTATTTTGGAAAATCTCGGAAAAGGTTATTCAAAAAAGTTGTTTAGCATAGAAAAAAACATCCAGATTTGACTGCATGGCCATCCAAGTGAAGTTTTATTTTTTACCATTTTTTCATGGGGACTACGAAAAGAAAAATTTGCTAAAATCTTTGGGAATGTTAATTAATTAGGAAGATGGAGTTTCATTCCTTTATTGCTTTCTTTTATTACAAAGTTCAAAGTTGTTGATGGGTTTTATTTTTACATACATACATACATCGTTTTTCTTCTTACTTGTGTCAGACGTCATGATTGTCTTTCAGT